TCTAGGTTTAACCATCCCAGATTTGGATCTGGTTTGCATAGGGTGAGTGTTATGTAATGGACTGACAGAAGTTGAAGAAGAAGAATAGTTGTGGGAGTCACTGGGAGAGATCTGATTTTGAGAAGGGCTAGTATTGTCAGAAGAATGATGTTGCTCATGGATGGAAGAAGACTGTGATTGATTGTTGGATTTTGTAGATGATGAATTAATGTGAGAAGAAGAGTGTGATTGAGAGTTAGATTGGGTAGGTGAATTGGATTGGGAGGAGTTTGGAGGATCAGTATTGTTGTTAGAAGGAAACTGAGATGTGGATGTGGAATTGAATTCTGAAGCAGGTAAGGTTGAGGTAGGACCATTATTAGAAATGGTTATAGGATAGGATGAGGATGTTGGGGCAGTAGTAGGAGTAATGGATTTTGTGGGGAAAAGAGTTGTAAAAGGGAATGATGTTTCATTGAAAACAACATCTCTAGATATGTATACTTTGTCACATGGAGAGAGGCATTTGTATCCTTTATGGTGAGAGGAATACCCCAAGAAAACACACTCCTTGGAATGATAGTCAAATTTGTGCTTGTTATATGGTCTTATGAAAGGATAGCAAGAGCAGCCAAAAACCTTAAGAATGGAGTAGTCAGGAAGAGTTCTAAACAATTTGAAATAGGGACTGAGGTTATTGATGGATTTAGATGGAAGTCTATTTATGAGATGGACAGCTGTGGCAAAGGCAGTGTCCCGGAATTTTAAAGGTATAGAAGAATGGGCTAACAAACATAGGCCTTTTTCAACAATGGTGCGATGTTTCCTTTCAACTACACCATTTTGATGGTGAGTGTGAGGACAGATAATCCTATGAATGATGCCTTTTTTATTGAGAAATTGTGTGAAGGATCTAAACTCACCCCCCAGTCAGACTGGATTGACTTGATGGAGACTTTAAACTGAGTTAACACATACTGATAAAAGTTTTGAAATGCTAACACAGTATCAGATATCTTTTTAAGAAAATAGATCCATGTATACCTAGAAAATGCATCAATGAATGACACATAGTAGGAGTAGCCATCAAAGGACTGGACAGGAGCTGGACCCCATAGGTCAGTGTAAATGAGGTCAAAGGGATTATTATAAATAGTAGTAGAGGGATAGGAAGGAAGCCTGTGAGCTTTTCCTAAACAGCATGCAGAACAAAAATCAACAACATTTTTATTGATAAAGGAAATATTGCATAGAGTCAATACATATTTGAAAGCCTCTAAATGAGGATGGCCTAGTCTCAAGTGCCAGACATTACATGTGTCATGAGAATGAGTGTTATTACAAGTAGAAACTAAAGAACTAGAACAAACAGATGCAACAGTTGACTTGTGAGACCCAATAGTTGGAAATGACTGAAACTTGTACAGACCATCTGCACCAAGGATGCCATAAAGAAGGACCTGTTTAGAAACCTGGGATTTAACAAAGCATTCATGAGGATGAAATTCAAAAAATGCATTATTATCTTTTGCAAATTGATTGACACTTATGAGATTTTTGGTTATTTCAGGGACATGAAGCATTTTATTAAGAGACAGAGAAATGGAAGATTGATAAGGGGAAGGAAAGGTTGAAAAACCAATAGACTTAATCTCTAGGCCTTGTCCATTACCCATAAAGAGCTTGTCAGTAGTGGAAATAGGCTCACTGTGTTGCAGGTTCAGTGGATCAGAAGTAACATGATGAGTAGCCCCGGAGTCTGGAAACCAGTGTTGAGAATGAGGTGCAGGCTGAGTATGAGGTGCAGGTCCAAGAACTGAAGAGTCAACACATGCCCAGACTGTTGAAGGAACATTAGGATTAGAATTAGAGTTGGGAGAGGGTGCATATGGGCTGGAATTAGGGTTGGAGGATGGTGAAAAGGGGTAAGAGGGTGGTGGCCAGTTAAACTGTGATGAGGTAGAAGAATTGGGCAAGTATGTTGGGATAACTGGATTGTGAAGATAGGCAGATTGTTGCTGGGTTATAGGGAAGTAGTTAGGCTGAGTTTGAGTTTGATTTGTGTAAGGATTTGATGTATAAGGGTTTGAAGGATAAGACTGATGCTGATTTGGTAAATGGGGGTAAGATTGAGGTTGATTAGGGTTTGAAGCAGTAATGTTTGTGTTTGATGTTGAATAGGCTGGGTTGTATTTGTGGTAGCGGATGAGTGCATGATGGCCATTCTTGCCACACACCTGACAGATAATTGGATTACGGCCACCTGACCGGCCACCTCCACCTCTGGTAAAGCCTCTACCTCTTCCTCTATAGGAGGAAGAATTTCCAGAATCATCGAACTGAGCAACCTGTGCTGAAGCATTTTCTGAAGAATTGGGAGATTCACCATCATTGTTTTGAGAAGGTTCTTCCAGTTTTTCAATGTTGGCTGAAAACAATGTCTGCTGGGATGAGTCACATAACTTCTTTAGACGCAATTCCTTTGCCAGTAGTAGGGCTTCAAGATCGGATATTGTAATGGCTTCCAAGATACTCCGAGAAGACACTGAGGATATGAGCGACTCATATTCCTCTGGAAATCCTTCAAGGATCACGTTAATATGATCCTTGGTAGATATGGAATCACCGACGAGGATTAGGTTATCAACGATGGTCTGAATACGAAGAAGGTAGTCTGAAATGGACCGATCACCTTTCCCGGTGTTGTACAATTCTGATTTCAGTTGGCGAGTTCTGGCAGTAACACTGGAACGAAAGAACTCCTGAATTTCTTTCCATAGCTGATGTGAATGTCTGCAGTTGATTACTCGAGCATGAAGAGAATCAGAAAGCGAAGCCAGAAGCCAGGAGAACAACATCTGATCCTGTTGCTCCCAGATGTCGTAGGCTTCATTGACGATTTTCTCGCCATTGTCACCAACAGCGAATTGTTCCGGTATTCTAGGGTTTTCGATGAATCTGAGTAGCTTATGCGCGCGAACAACAGACTGAACATGATGCCTCCAGAGCAAAAAATTATTCGAATCAAGCTTGATAGGTAAGGGATGATGAAAAATGACTGGAGAATTTTGCAAGGATGAAGATTGTGTAGATGATGATTCAGTAGTAGAGCTAGTCATGGTTGGAACGAGCTATGCTCTGATACCATAATAGACGAAGAAGAAAGATAGAATAGGAAAGTGAATCATCATAAAGATCAAAGAGGAGTTACAGAGTATTTATACATTTCTGAAACTAAGTAACTAACAGTAAGGCTAACAGAAGTCTAACAGAATCATAACCGTATACAACAATTCAAGTAACAATACAAGTAACAGTCTATTTATTATATCTAACACCCTTACAGTGATAAAAAACTAAAAACCTAGTTGACTGAACATTTAGAGACAAAAGAACACAAGTCTCTCGGGAAAACATAGATTGTCATGTATGGAGCAATTATAATTTTAAATATAAAAAAGTTACATTTTTCTACCATCCCTCCAAAGTAGGAGTTAACCAAACAACTCAAAACTTGAATCATAGAAAAATTTTATAAGTTAACATATGATAAACGGTGGTGGATAAATCATAAATGATAGCTTAAAGGTAAGTCAACCCAAAGGTACGAATGAGTCATTTTGACAACAGTTGTTTGGGAAGTTGGCTATGATATAAGAATTTAACCAAAGGCATTTCTACTCTGCTAGCAATGTTCTTCTTGCTAAATGTAGTAATTAAGACAGAATGCTGATAAATTATTTTCACCATGTCTAAATAAATATATCAGTCTTGTTGACTAATCATTTCTATGGTATTTGTTTCATGGACTGCTAGGCTTATGTGATGTTTCCTGCTTTCTGGTTTTGTGCTGAAGTAAGTGTCTCGAGATAAATGGTATTAAAGTGCTAAAAACGGCAGAATCATTCCAGAAAGCAACAAAAACATGACAAGAATCAACAAGAGCTGCTTCCTAATTGTAGGGAAATTTAGACAACCTTAAAACTGCGACAAAAAGGCCATTGAAGCAACTCCCTGAGAAGCTGACAAATATGCTCCTTGCGTCCCTTAATTCCTCCCCGTCGGCTCATAGGTTGCATCATTTTCATAGATGACTTACATTCATAAAGCTACATTTTTTGTTATTTCCCAATAAGCAAATTCCTTTTACCCAATCAAAGACTTGACAACTAAATATTAATTGATTTTAAAAAGGGTGTTTAGGAGGTGTAGGATGGTAAGAACCACACCAACTACAAGGGATCAAATATCACACGTCTAAACCAGTTTCCACCCCACCCCAATCCCCCTCAAACAAAAAACAATAGTTTCATTTAGATATTCAATCTGCAAGCGTCGGAAGTCAACTGGTTCACACTTCCGAGAAATAGCTCGTGTTGTATCTCGCTCAGGCAGACTCAGACGCCTCTGACGACTTTGATTCCTCCAACGACTCTTTTTTCTCAGATGATTTTTTGGGACATGCAATGGAGAGTGACCGGGGACCACCTATTTAAAATCAGGATGATATATATAAGGGATTCCAAATTCAAAAGAACAATTTCATACAAAACTAAGTTCACTACCTCGGAAAACTGCCTGTCGACAAAGAACCACAATACACAACTAAAAGTTTACCAGAAATTCCAAAAGAATAAAGGACGCATAAGGACTAGATCTCAGTCGAAGATATTTCCGTGCGACTAGCTTTTTTCTTTTGTGCATTGTTTTATTTTTTTCTTTTCTTTTTCTTTTTTCTTTTCTGCATTGCAGTATTGCACTCTTATTCCTGTTAATAAAATTTTCCTTTTTCCTTTTTTTTTCAAAAAACGGATGTTGGGCATTATGATATCCTTTCCTTTAATTAACGTGCCTCTGGACAAAAAAAATAAATAAATAACGTGCCTAGAAATGAATCGCGGTGCGGCCGGTGCCGTAGGAAACACTCTGCAGTCACCATCATTGATATAATTATTTCAAACAAAATTATTATCACTAAAAAGGACTTTAGACTATAGACAGAGGAATTGACCCGATGAAAATAAATTGCCTGTCGAGTGAGTGACTTTTTAAATACTCCAAGATAAATTAACATTTTCAATAAAATAATTTAATTAATTAATAAAAAGGACCGTGTGGTAGTAGAATAAATAAAACGATACTCGTAGTAAACTAGCTGATTAGAGACCCAGCCCTTCGCTTGTTATTATTATACTCCCACTTTGAAATGAATGTGAACCATACAGGGGCGTAGCTAGGATTGAAGGTTGGGCTGGGCCGGTACAAAGAATTTTTCAGATAATTTTTTTCACATAAATTTTTAGACTAAAAATACAAAGGATTTTCAAATTTGGGGCGGGCCGTGGCCCGGTTGGCCACCCCTCTAGCCCCGTCCCTGGAACCATACAAATTGTCCCAAAAAAGGAAAGTGAGAAGAATTTTTGGGACAACTCAAATAGAAAAGTGGGAAGAATTTTATGGAATGGAGGTAGTATTAATTAATAAATTAAGATGGAGAGAGAGAGGGTAATTAAGGGGTCCAGTAAAGAAATTCTCTAATCTGTATTTTAGTTACTTTTATTTGAGACTTCCAATACTAAGATCGATCTCTCACAAGGAAGCTAGAACCGGACATCCTTTGAGCTAGCTGCTATAATTCATATATGAGTTAAATTGCGATCCATAATCAAGAAGATTACTAGCGAGATGATGATGTGTGATTATTCAGGTATATAATACGTGTTTTTATTTATTTATGCTATGTTCTTAATTCTTTCTTTGTTTATATATATATTTGTAATTGCATGGGCGAAATTAACTAAATGTTTGCGCATATTTAATTCGTGCCCACACATATGTAGGTTATATATTAAATTAATTGTCGTTCTAACTACATGAAAAAATATGTCGTGCATTAGACATATTTATCTGAGTTTTTCTATTAGATCATCATTTTGGTTGAAGTCTTGAAGATCTATGGTATTTTACCTATACACTGCTTTCTCCATTATAAATGATTTAATTGCTAAGATCATAATAAGTTTCATTTACAAATAGACTTTAACTAGGGCCAAATAAAATTGTTAATATGAACTAAAAGCTGAAATTAGAGGTCATCAGGATTCAGGTCATATAATTATTACTCGTATAGCATAAGTGGTTGAATTGCCAAAATAGACTTAATCGGTTGAATTTTGGGCCATTTCTTGTATTGATTGAATGCCTAATTATATGAAGAAATTGAAGAATGAAAGATTGACCAAATATAACAATCATTGTCCAATACATAAAATATGACAACTTTAAATGCTTTGTAAAAATAATCACAGTTAAAATTTGTACTTCTTTCTACTCGTTAATTTCAATTCTCAGTCATTTAAAATTGCCACCACCGATCATAGTGGTGGTGTTTCACTACGAGTAACATATCAAGGCTCTTTTTGCTAGACTTATTTCATTTCTTACTAGAACATACCGAATATTAGATTACACATTATGAGACAAGATAAGATGTGAACGGATTGGATCGAATAAGACCTCATGACCAGCATCATATCATATTTATATTGTTTTGTTATTGTTATTATTATGTATTTTTTGAATTTAAATTTTCTTATTTGATCTAATTTAAATTGGTTGGATTTAGTCTCATATGAACTGAAGTATTCCTACTTATTTCAATCTATAGTAGTAATATGTAGTACGGACTACGGGGTATATTTTATTACTATAAATTCAAGTTTTATATATTGTAATTAATTTTGGTCTGGTTTTATGAGATCCAAACCCTCTCGTTCAATCGAGATTTACCCTTGTCATGCACGAGATAAAATGATTTTGTTATAGTTTTACTAGTTGTGTGTGTGCACTGGCATATGTATGCGTTATTACAACTAACAGAAAGTCACTTATTTAGCCGATTATAACATTGATTGATAATGTCTTGTTTTTATTTATTCTTACTTATTGAGTATGTCTTATTTTTAACTAATTATTTAAACTTTTTCTCAGTATATATATTTTCTAATTAGTGGGTCATTTTTTATATCTGTTTGTTGCATGCAAATGATCTTCATCTTTTCAATCATCTTTATCTACTTCGTATTGAATATTGATTTTTTTCGGAATAATACCATGTAAAAAATTATTTACGAAATTAAGGTCAAATTAAAAACTATTGAAATGAACCATGGTTAACAAAAGCTGTCAATTGGGGATGTTTTTCCTTGGACTATTTTCAGTCCTAGACTAGACTAGACATAAACAGTCCAAACCAGACCTGACTTAAACAAGCTAGACTTCCATAGTTATGAAATACTCAGAGACCAAACATTTATCAGACCAGATGAGTTCAATTTAGAACAAATCGGACTTTAAAAGGCCAAACCAAATCAGACCAGATAAGTTCAATTCCAATGTATTCAACACTTATTATTATCACCACTCATCATATAATATGACCTATAAATAATTAATACTCCACAACTAAAACAATAATTAGCATATAAACAACAATATAACCACAAATTCATACTCCAAAAGATGGTGATTCCTCACCCGTGTTTCATGGTGGTGGTTAATTCATAAGAGAAATCGATTATAGCCAAACTTTTCATGATATCATATGAATGGTTCGCAATGTTTATTGATATTTCTCATCGGAATCTATATCAAATTAACACTACTGGGGCATGCCCCGGGTGTTACACTAGTTTTCCCTAATTGTAACTTTGAAATGTATTGTGTATAGATTGTCTTTCTTTAATTGATTAATCTAATTTGTGTTGATATCTTAGTATGTAGATGGTATTCATCTGAATTACATTCATAAATAAATACTTCGTATGTTACATACTCTACATCAATTATGTATAGGCAGTATAGCATATATACAAACAAAAAATTTAGCATAAATAATTTGATCTATTATATACGTGTATACAAAGTTATTTAAAACATGAAAATGATAGGGAAATATTCTTTGTAAATTATATTCTTATACAAATATATTCTTATATAAGTTATTTTTGTACAAATATAAAAGTTACCTTTCACAAAAATATATTAATAAAAATTATTGACCAAAACTTATGAACTGACTATCAAAAATAAAATGTTCCCGGGGACGTTTATAGTATAAGATTATTCCTAGTTCGTGTTTCCAATTTTCCCTAAAACAATTTCACTAGTACTTCGCATGTAGTACTAAGTATTTGTTTTATTCCGTTCCTATATACTTCATTTTGTCATCAACTTAAATAATTATAATTACTTAAAAGAAGGTTAATTATTTTGTATTGAACAATATATTGCTCCGTTATTCAACATTCATTTGTTAAAATCCACATAATAAGACTATAAAGGGAAAGTTATAGATTTATTCTCGTGGCATTTAGTAATTTTACTCAGTTATGCATTTGATCTTGCAACTAGGAAATTTGTTTACATCAAAGATTTTTCCATCGGAACATAGCTTTTGCCGGAAAAATGTACGTAGTACTTTTTAGTGGAAATGTCTTCAATTTGAATAGATTCAATTGTAACAAGCCCAAATATATGTGCAACAGTGCAAGTGAGTAAAGTTAGATGAATGAGGTTAATGACTGTCTTAAAAGAGAAAAGTGGTAGTTGTATGATTAAAAAGTTTGTTTGAATTGATTTAGTTTTGTTTGATATACAAGTTATTAGGGCTAATTAATACTAAAAGTAACAAACTTTTCTCAAATGTTACTCATTTTAGCATCTAAAAACAAATTATTTTTTTAAGAAAAAAAGGGTCAGATAGGCCCTCGAACTTACATAAAAAGGTCAAATAAGCCCTTATATAGGAGGCTCTATCCGGCCGTCGCCATTTGGGGCGGTTCCCGGAGGAATTTTTTGATGATATTTTTTGACCATCTTATTCATTAAGTCTAGTTTAACCGCAGTTAAAAAGAGCTTTTAAGTTCGAGGGAAGGCCTATTTGATTTTTTTGATGAAATTTCAGTTAAAACTTCAATCGAGAAGACATTCAAATGAATTCTTGAAAATAACTGCGCAGTTAAAAAGCGCAGTTATCTTCAAGAATTCATTTGAAAGTCTTCCTGATTGAATTGTTAGCTGAAATTTGGTATGAGTAACAAAGACTTAATGAATAAGATGCTAAAAAAAAATCAACAAAAAATTCCACCAGGAACCGCCCCAAATGGAGACGGTCGGACAGAGCCTCCTATATAAGGGCTTATTTGACCTTTTTATGTAAGTTCGATGGCATATTTGACCATTTTTCCTTTTTAAAAAACTCTTAAAATTGTAATGTCAAACATACAACTAGGAAATTCTAAATACTTTTAAATAGTAGTCCGTATAAAACTTATAAGGTAGGGACTTATCAAGTACGTATATACCAACTACTAAGGGGTCTTTGTCCGGTGGAAACTCCATGATGTTTCGTTGTTTAGGGTAAGGTGAGAGTTCTGGTACCCATTTAAAAAATGGGATATCATACCTACCTTTCACTTGATTGGTCTAAATAGGTATATCATTTTTAATTTGGACTTAAATAATTCAATTGCAACATTCTGATTGATACATGTGAATAAAGGTACGGTATCTTATTTGTACGTGTACCAATGTACCATAGAATCTACCGTTGTTATCTGTGGGGCGTTTACGGATGTTTTTGCTAAAGTAATTTTACATTTTCACATATACGTAATACGTAGTATATCTGTATATGTTTTACTTTTTCTGTAAAGTAATTTTACATTTCAAAATTGTTGCATTTTGCTTCATTCGGCCACCATTTCACCCTCATCAACCTTATATCCAGTTAGAAAAACTTGAGACAGGACAATATCACCTCTATCTCACTAACATTGTGACATGAAGAGGTTGTGTGACTATTAAGAAAAGTAATTTTATGTGATTCATATTGAATTGATAGAGTAAAAATAAAGTAAAAATGATTTATAATCACACAAACTTTACAAAACTTGTTATGAAACAATCTCAGTGGAACGGATAAGAAAAAAAATGAATATGAGACAATATTATCTGATGTAACATGAAAAATGATTATTGTACACATTTTTGTGTACACCTTTCGTACATTCGTCTGTCTCACGCACAAACAATTGTCTGTCCACAGACAAGTTTACACAGTTGTCTATGAACAGACAATCATTTGTGCGTGAGACAGACGAATGTACGTAAGGTGTACACCAAGCACACCCAATGTAACATTGGTCCTCCGATAGATTGCTTACAACGTCATGTAAAAAAATTTTGGAATCAGTCTTAATTATTTGTTTAATTACTAAAGATCGGACCGTGTCCACCCCTAGTTTTATGTATTTTAGAGAACAACATACAATGTTTTATTGTTTAATTAGCGCTAAGTAATAAGATTATAAAAAAAATGAGCTGTGAAAAAATGTAAATTTTGATTATAAGACCAGACCAGACGTGATTAGACTAGACTTCCACAGTTATAAAATGCACAGAGATCAGATATTAATTAGATCAGACCAGTTCAGACCAGATCAGAACAAATCTGGCCATAAAATTTCAGTCCAATTAAAAACAAAATTAGTAACAAAGTATTCCCAAAAAGATTACTAAAAAGAAGCTGATCAAAATTGATAAGATGAAGCTGATAAGTTTGACATATTAAAAGTAGGAGTGCTCTTCCTGTCCGGAAATTCCGGACAGGAGCCCCGTCCGGCCTCCTCCATTTGGGAGCCTTCCCGGGTGTATTTTTTGCTCAAATTTTTTGTGTATGTTGCTCATCAAGTGTAGTTCATCCACACCGAATTTGAGCAAAAAATTCAATCAGGAAGATCGTCAAATGATTTTTCCGGACCAGTTAACTTGCAAAAATCATTTGACGACCTTCCCGATTGAAGTTTTTGCTCAAATTTAGTATGGATGAACTAGACTTGATGAGGAACATACACAATAAATTTGGGCCAAAAATACCCCTGGGAACCACCTCAATTTGAGGTGGCCGGATAGGGGAGTGGTCCAGCCTGGCCAGACCTGAATACTCCTGTTAAAGTAGTGATTTTTATATAGTAAAGTCCACCAACTGATTCAGTCAATTCCAATGTTATAAAACGGGCTCTTAAAACTTTTAAATTCTAGCGACTTCAGCCAGAACTTCATAAGTTTTAGTAGAATCAACTGATTGAGCCGATTTCAATGTTATCAAACGGGCTCTTAATATGGATAAAAAAAGAAAAGATTTAAGAATCTTAAAAAAGGACACAGACAGGGCATAGTATTTTGAATGATTCAATGTTTTATGGGGAAATTCCCTAAATATTACTCCCTCCGGCCCCCTTATATTGTCTCGTTTCACCTTTTCGGGAAATCACGTTAAAATTGTTCCATGCCATATTTGGTAAAGTTTGTGTGGCTCTAAATCATTCTTATTTTATTCTTACTTTATCAACTAATATCAATCACACAAATCCACTTTTCTTAATAACCGTGTCACCCTCTTCCGTCCTAGTGTAAATTTTGGAGTTTTGAAATTCCAAAATAGGATTGTCATATTTTTATTTCTCGGATAGGAATAATTTTCTACCAAGTTTGCCATTTTCAGAATTTAAACATGACATTTTTTATTTAGAAAATGAAAACAGGTCCCTAGCTATTTTGGAATTTAAGGCAATTTCTAATGTTTTATTGATTCTACAGGAGCAGCAGTCCAGGTGCCGGCGTTGAAGGCGGAGGATCAATCTGCCTTGATGCGATATCATGAGAATGGGCGAATGACGCAGCCCTGGATTTATGTTAAGGTGGAGAAGGGAGGGCAGTTTCCTAAAGATTTAGGCGAGTGTACGGTAGAGGTGAAGATGGGGGTCAACCCCGCAGTCTGCGCGGCGGGCGGCAAACTTGCCGGTGGCAGAGATGCGGCGGTGCTGGTAAAGTTTCTCGACGGAATAGCCGACAGGATATTCGCGGTGAAGTTGGCATCAGTTAAAGACAAAAAGCTCGGGGGTTCACTGGTTCTGGACTACCAGTGGTCGGGTATCATCCGCTTGCAACGCGGTGAAACGGAGGCGCCGGCTCCGTACGGCATCACCGTTAACGGCGCCAGAGTTGAGTTGATGATTTCCGTGTGGTTATCATTTCACGAATGGGACGGAGCCGTTGAAGCCCCCTTACCAGGTTCCCCCGCCGGCGCCGTCATCCGCTCACACCCTTCCTACACCTACGCGCGACCAAAGCTGGCCTACTGCCTGGTGGTGCTTCTACGGCTCGAGCCATCCAAATCCTGTAAAGCCCCTCTCCAGGACGGTGCTTCCTACTACGTGCATGGCCAGATGGGAGGACACCAGCAGTGGACTCGGCCGTTGCCTCAACCTAGCCCATATAATCATATTGATGCCACACCGCCCAACTGCCATGCCTTTGGCCGCACGCGTCTCTGGTTCCCCGTGGATCCCTCCGACCGCGAAAGCCTCACCTTCACAGTCGTGGTCCGTCCTCCTCCGGTGGGTGCCACCAAGGAGCCGCCGTGCACTGTGCTCGGGAGTGTCGTCGTCCCCATGGACGACAAAGGCCCGAAACTTAAAGATGGCCAAAAACAGCACGATGGGAGATTCATGCTCGTGAAATCGGGCGACAAGGACGAACTAGGGCTTATACTACACGCAGCGGTGTGCATAGACAAAGGCTACCACGTCTTTGATGACCTGGATTCTTACACCAGCGATCGCTCCCCCACCTCAACTGCGTCTGCACTAGGTATAGCACAGCTACATGTCAGCATCGAACGTGTGGAGGCCCTCGTTCCCATCAAAAAGCGAAAAGATGTCTGGACGACGGACCCGTACTGCGTCGCCAAGTACGGGGACAAGTGGTGCACGACACGCACTGCACCCGCCAAATTTGGTGCTTCTGCCGACCCCATGTTCAAACACATGTGCAAATGGAAGGAGAACAAATTGGAGGTCTACGACCCGAGCATATCAGTTCTCACACACGCCGCCTTTGGAGAGAAGTTCACATGGGAGGTCCACGACCCGAACACAGTTCTCACCATCGGTGTGTTTGACAACAGCAACATGGTGGCAGTGGAGGGGAAGAAGGACGAGGAGGAGGGGAAGAAGAAGAAGGTGGAGGACAAGAACATCGGTAAGGTTAAGGTTCCCATCTCCACCCTGCTAATGTACACGAGGTACGAAACAGTGTATCCCTTGTTCGCCGTGCATCCCGAGCTGGGCCCGCAGGTCAGGATGATGGGCATGCTGCACGTGACGATTGAGCTCGTTCCTCGAAGCTTGGGGAGCTTTTTCGTCAGTTACTTTACCCCTCCTCTCCCGAGCGCGCACTACCTGCAAGGTGTCCCGCCGCTCGAGATGATGCCGGAGATCCGGAGAAGCGCCGTGGCCTTGGAGGTCAAGAAGCTAGCAACATGTGACCCGCCTATCGGGGGCAATGTCGTGAGATACATGACCACACCAGAGCAGGGCTTTAGCAGGCGAGTGTTACTCACGAACATAGCACGCCTCTACTCCGCCTGCGGTTTACGTGCACTACTCCAACTTCTCGGGCTCGTCCTCAGCAGGAGGAACCAGATGACGTCAGTGCTCGTTTCTGTGCTCCTTACCCTCCTCCTCTTATGCCCATTCCTCATCATCCCTCTCATCCTCTCCACCTCTATCTATGTGGGACTTGTTAATCTCGCAGCATGGGCGAGCTGGAGCTCCACCAAACCCAGCTTCACTCACCCACCTTACCTCCTCGAACTAGTTTCATTCCAGGTAACATCATTCACTTGGAAACTTAAGAATTTATAACCTTTTTCTATATATAGTTGGTCATATTGAGTTAATTTTCTTGAAAGTGCAAATCCCTTAATTCATTTGTCCTTGATCAATTATAAGACGACGCACCCGGACCATCTTGACGAGGAAGCGGACACGCACCCGACGAGCAGGAAGCCAGAGGTGGTGAAGAGGAGATACGACGAGCTGAGGCTTCTGGCTGCACAATTCCAGAACTTTTTGGGCGACCTTGCAAATCTGGCGGAAAGGATTCAGAATATAGTGACTGGGAAGAACCCAGCTCTTACGGCCATCGCTCTCGTCTTCTCCTCTGCAATGCTGTTTGTGCACTGCTTGATACTGCGGTTCAACTACATTGCGGCCATGTGTGTTATTCTGCTTTCAGTGTTGTGGAATTCCAGATTCCTGAAAACTGCTCTGCCCCTTGCGCTTATCAACCTCTTCCGACGCCTGCCTACCTTCTACGATAATCCCTTGTAGCTCTTTATTCATCTAATATCATCATCTCATCTGCTTCAATTATTATGTGTATAATTATAATATTAATAAAGGTGTCTCAACTGTCTCTTTTTTTGTTGATTTCTTTGATGTACTTTCGCTTTTTTTTTATTTGAATGATATGTGCCTACACTTAAATGGAGAACTCATTGCGTGCGAAAGAATTTATTTTGTATGTGTATTAATCGTTGGACTTATGTATTAATCATTGTATCTACTGCAACACATACTCTAGAGCGCAACTGTTGGACTTATGTATTAATCGTTCACATATTGTTGGAAATGGGATCAAAATATAAGCTCTATAATTTTTTTGGTTAAATTTGGTTCAATTGTAAAAAAATGTAGATGTTGAATTCAATTCGGTTCTTACATGAAAATATTCAAATTTCAAATCGTGAAAATAAGTTGTCATAACTATGACCATTACATTATACATACATGATACATCCAATGTTCAACAACAACAACATCCAAGCCTTAATCCCAAAAGATATATCCAATGTTCAAATATCACAAAAATATCAAAGTGAAAACTTTAAGTTAAACATAACACGATATATAAGGTATATTTCAAAAGATAAATATTCCTAACTGAAACGTTGTTAGGACACTTCCACTTGAGATGCTTGTAAGTGAAATATTTGATAAAATTTTGTGAACGTGTTGTACTTGAAGTATGTATTAGGTCCACCCAATTTTAACTTAAAACTCAATCGTGAAGTTACTAAAAAAAATAGGAAAAATTGATAGTAATAATCTCAACTATTGGCGGTCCGCTAATAATAATCTCAACTATCGATTATTTTAGAATAATCCCAACTTTAGGGACCTTCCGCCAATAATGGCCTGACGTGACCGCTATAAATAAATTCTTATAGTTTCTAAAGTTGATGAGAAGAGATATAGCAAGTAATCCCTATAAATAATCCTAACTTTTATGGAGTAATTTTTAAGGTTTATTTCTATTCGAAATTCACTTGTTATCTGGTCATGGACCATTATTGGCGGACGATCCACATAGTTGGGATTATACAAAAATAATCAATAGTTGAGATTATTGTTAGCGGAATCGCAATAGTTGGGATTATTATTTTCATTTTTCCTAAAAAAATACTGAAAAACACAACATTTTTTATTTTGGCATTGTTTTTCAATCATATACCGAGTTAGGCATGGACCCTGTTCGGGCCACCCGGCCCGCTACTGTGCGGGACCGGACCGGACCGGTGCTTTGGATCCGAAACCGGTCCTTGACCCGGTTTGAAGGCTTAAGCGGGGGCGGGCTCGGGCTGCAGAAATGGGGACCCAGTCCAGCCGGGCCCGGTTCAGGCCAAAACTATTTTTTTTTTGTTTTTCCAATTTTTTGGATTTCCCCGAGTTGGGCTTGATGTTTTGGGGGGGGGGTGGGGGTTTTGGGGGGGGTGGGGGTGAGGGGGTAGTTACGAAAGAAATAAAAAATTATAACCCGGCCCGAACCGGACCCGGTGGCAACCCGGGCCGGTCCCGGGCCTTCCCCCAACCACAAAAGGCCCGACCGGGCCTAGGCCCGGGCCCGACCCAGCCCGGCTCCATGCCTATACCGAGTATTGCCCAGACAATTTCTTCAACCAGGTGGTCTGAGCAAGTGTTGCCGTTAATTTTTTTTTTTTTCGCCCTGTTTGAAGCCTAAAAATATACCAAGTTGGGACGGGAATCGCTCGATGTGGTCCCCAAAACTGTAAGGATCGTGAAGTGTGAACTGCTCTAGGGCGAACAGGGCTGGTCTTAGGCCCGAAAGCGGTATAAACAGCCTGATCTCGTCACAAATAGTGCCAGACCAGATTTTGGGCCGAACCAGAACCATCCCTAATATCAACTGTTGTGTATTAGTTTTAATTGGTAGATCTTAAAAAGATTAAAATTTTCCATGTTTAATTACAATTATTATGATGGATTAATTCTAACCGTTAGATGTCGAAGGACACGGTCCAATAGATCGTTGTATCAATTAATTGGATCGTAGTCTCTTACCATAAAAATGGATGCATGAGCGGCAGCATCTACTATAAAGGGTTCCTCCGCAAGGTTCGCCCACGGATGAGTCAGGTCCTAAGATCAGGCCGAAAGGTGTAGTCAATGGACAACAGGTGAATAAGTGTTAAATGAAAAGTGAACTTGAAGGGTCTATCCGTCTATGGTCTACCAACAAAATTAAGATCTAACGATTGAAAAGCTAATAGTTAACACTAATGAATCAAAAAAATAATGGAGCATAAACTTTATTTTTGGCTTAAGATGAACGCTGCTATATATACGGTATCCTCCATAACAATCTCTTGTTACATAAACTCAGGTTAACCTATAATAATTATGCAATTTATTTATCCTTTGAACATGCATCAGCCCATAATACTTCATACGGTTTTTTCATAATAATTAAAGATTCCGCTTACAAAAAGAAATTAAGAGTCAAAAGAGAATTCAATATTAGTATATTACTATCAGGTCAACCGATTCTCCATTTTTGGATGATAAATCATAATAGCATAAATCTCTATTTCAGGTGTGTTTGTTAGAACAGTTCACATCTACCACATTATATATTTATGAATAAATAAACACATATATACAAAAAAAAACACAATGACCAAGAGCCTCACCCGCGCATAAGGTCAATCCCGGTCTGAAAAGCTCTACTATCTGATCTGGAACTTGGAGGCCAAATTGAAGAGCTTGGGGCAGGATCTTGACTTGGAGAAGAAGCGGCGGCGAGCACCATAGTCGATGACGATGACCTCATCTCGGCGGCAGACCCGGCGGCGAGCACCATAGTCGATGAAGATGACCTCATCTCGGAGGCAGACCCGACCACTGAATCCTTCTCTTCTTCCGTGATAACCGTACTCTCTGTTTTGCTCTTACTCTTCATCAAATTACCGTGCACGAAACTGCATACCACCACCTGAATTAAAAAACAAAAAAAACAAAACTTTTTATTATAAGTTTGCTTAGAGCAATTGAATCAAACCGCGTACCAAGTGGCTTCAAAGGACTTTTCCTTGAAGATAAAATCGATATTTGAAATTAGATTCTTTTTTACCAATCAAAAAATCTAAAAATATGACTTCTTCTTTTGAAAATAATTACACGTTTATGACTATAAAAAAAATTATTTATGAAAATGTGACTTCTTAAGTGTAGACTATAATAGTAATTTTAGTCATAGCATCTTATGTTCAGTATTTACACTTAAGTGACTATGATACTATATGATAGTAAGTTTTGGTCATACTTTTGTAAATAAGTTATATTCCGTATTTCAGTAACATATGGAGTGATTGTTCACATGTTAAACATTACACTCCATTGTAGAAAACTTTATATTCATATTAAATTTAGTCATGCTTTTCCATAAATTTGTATGAGTAATATTTTAGGAAAAACAACCCTCTGAAGACGATCATTCTTGATTTTAGGAAAAATAACCATCTATTTTTCATGAAGAGAATAATTCTTGAAGGAAAGGCATTTATAACTCCTACGCTTTAAATGACAAAAATGTGTAGTGTTTATTAAATATGACTAAGTTTAAAATTAAAATCATAACTCTATTCATATTTACCGATCTCAACATTTTTTGAGGATAAGACTTGATGTTGTTGTATAAGTCTATTCCTATTTCTTTTCCCTCCAACATAAACCTAGACCGGACTAGCTGCAGCTCCCAGCCGCAGCCACTAGCCGGAGCCACCAGCCGCCGCCAACAGTCACCACCACGGAAGAAATTCAGAAAAATATCCAAAAATCCATTTCGAAAAATTGCCTCCAAAATAGTCAGAACTTGATGCAGCCACTACCGGAAATATTTTAATAGAAATTTTCTCAAAATAGTTACCAGAATTTAGTAATGGCGATCAAAATGACAGCGAGAACATGTTACTCAGAATATCACCGGCATTGTTTGACAGTGACATCTTAGAAGTTATTGGCAGTGACATCCCACATTTTTTGAAATGTGACAAAATTGTCACATTTTCACCCATGAGTATGGCGGATTCGTGTTTAAATGAAAAAGTATGAAAGAGAATGTATTAAGAAATGTATTTACGTGTGTGGAAAAGAAAAATAATTAAAAGTAGAAAAGAGAGTGTATTAAGAAAAACAATTAAATGAATGGAGGAAAATAATAAAATGTAGGAAGGAGAAAATAGTTTATCAAAAGTAAAAAAGCGAGGGTAAAGGAATATTTTTGTAGGAAAACTTACTAAAAAGAGAGTGATGGATAAATAATAAAAACCTTTTCAAAAAAGAATAGATGACAAGTACGGAGTAATAAAGAATGGAGGGTGTAATTGAGAAAATATATGGAGCACACCAACGTGCTCACTACGAAGCATAGATACATAAATCGCGCAGACTATCATGATCTACGTTCCGAACGCCGCGTACCCAAACGCGGTAAGAAAGCGTTCCGAACGAAAGTCGGATCGCAGGGGAAATCGCATCGCCAATCGATCTCAATTGCTTCTGAGGTCGTTCTCCATCGCTCCATACTCCGTTCCCAAACGCAGCTGGTGTCGACTGCAACAACATCCGGAACGCGCTGTATCGCAATCTCCAAACCAGACGTGTTCATACTTGGTTTTTTCCTGTGTGGAAAACTAGGCAGACACGTTCATTTGAATTGTTTCAACTTTCTACAACTCTTCGATTTCTACAAACTTCGATTATCAAAGTTACGACCTACGAACTCTTCAATGAACTTAACTCTTCACTTCAGCGTTTAATAATGTTTTCAGTTTTTAGTTTGGTAATGTTTTCAGTTTTCACTTCAAACTTATTAATGTTTTCAGTTTTCACTTCAAACTCTTCACTTCAGCGTTTAGTAATTGTGGTACTGTTTTCAGTTTTGTTTTTTATTTCTGGAATATTATTTTTCTTATTATTTTGTTCAATGTTATAACTTATGATTATGAAATTTGTTTTTGATTAATGTTATGACTTATGAAATCTGAAATTCAGTTTTATTTTAGTACCAAAATATAATATACAGCGTACCGAACATGTGGTACACCGTACCGAACATGTGGTACACCGTACCGAACGCGTACCGGAATGAACCTACCCCCCTCCGAATCGGATACACTAGATCTAGCGAACCGCGTTCCCGTTCCACGTCCCCGTACCGAATCGTTCCGTGAACCATGTGATTATGCTACGAAGCACGTTTGCATAATGAATGGTAAGGATTTATTCATTAAAATTTTTTAAAGGAACTTGGTCATTCATCACGTAAACATGAAAAACCTCATATTCATTTATAGTTTCTCACTTAACCCTTCCAAGTCGGTTCCAATTAATCTTTACTCCCAACAAGTTTTTGTAGATAGATATTAAAATTACAGTTCCAATTAATTGTATAGATTACCTACAAATTCATGAAAAAATAGCATATTGACAATGGTTTACGTCGGATACACTTTTTTGTGCATTTATAAGAATAATGAAGGAGATGACAATGCTAAAATCTTTACCACCACAAGTTATTTCCACATGATTGATATTTGCTATCACCGTGCCCATTACATGGTTCATCGTTGTTGAAATAGAAATAAAATAAATATCATCCTTCCCTCCCCTACGAAATCCTCTAACCAAATATGGAGAGAGCATATAGAAATAACTAGCAATGCCAAAATGGACATTTTTGTCGAGAGATGGTGTTAAAAAACAGAAAATACAAAAAGGAATTAAAGGGATATTACCTGAACAGGACTTGATGCAATAAGCCTCCCTCCAATTGCACCCCCGAGGACATGCCCATCAGGGCTACTTATAGAAATGCTCAAACCACCCGTCCTGTTCCGGGGGCCGCCATTTTCAGAAACCAAGTACGAACCAGTCAAGGAGAGCATTTCAAAACGGCCCTGACAAAGACATGAACGAAAATTATGAGCTTTAGGACTTGTTTGGTGGGAGACTTTTTAAGGTATGATTATTTTTTTTGTTTGACTAATTCATCCCCTTGTGATATGACTGAATACACCAGGTACTATTTCGAGTATTTAAAATTGCTTCTATAGCGTGAAATAGAGAATCAATTTCGAGTAGTAGGATAACATGATACTCCGTATGTGAAACTAATTCTTGTGTAAAATGACTGAAGGGGTAATGCAGGTGTGCAAAGTATTATATTACTTATATTAGTTATATATTAAAGTGTAGATTGTTTATATTTATATTTGTTATAGAATTGTATGCACACACAAATATACTTCTATGCTTATACTTTTTATTTTATTGTGTGTGTGCGGGGAGTGGAGGGTATTTTGGAAATACTCCCTCTGTCCCTTAAAATTTTGCCATCTGTCCTTTTTGGGACGTCCCAAAAAACTTGCCATTTTCTCTTATAACAATTATTTTGTGGTTCATGTTGTTTTCTCTCCTCTGCACAAACCTCAACCACATAGTTTTTACTTTTTTATTCTCCGTGCCGGTCAAACTTGGCCAAGTTTTAAGGGACGGAGGTAGTATAATTCAAGAAACAGAACCAGTTGTAGAAACCCACGAAACACCTAAGCTAAATCTTCTTCAGCGGAATGGAATTCTAAGAATCTGGTCCAAACACGCCTTCAAGTATCTGAACAAGGACTTGATCTTAGATTCAGCCTGGTGTTTTAACCCATTTAAGTTGACAAAAATGAACTATTCCACAAGACCGCGATATAGATACATGATTTTTTTATTTTAACATGTAATGGAAACCAAGGAATCAAGAAAGAAAACTAAATACATATTTACAGGATAGGAGATTAAAAGTGGTGTATCACAAGCTAAAAATATAGCCTGTACATTTATCAGAGTAATTTATGTAAAAAGAGTGGCAATTAAATAAATTACATTAGAAGAAAAACAGATCAAAGTTCAGCATGAGTAATAATAGAAGTTTAATTGTTCTTACCTCATAAGTTACAGTGGCTCCAGAACTTCCTGGTGGCCTCAGTGTTACAGCAGAAATTGTGCCATTAGCTGACAATATACATAATGCTCTAGGTCTCTGCTGCGCAAATGCTAGTATTTTTGCTGCTATATCCTGCATAATAAATACATAATCTTTTCTAGTCACAAAATAAATGAAGTCCACATAAAATTATGGGGAAAAATGGAGGGAAAACTTGGGATAAAAGAAAATTGAACCAAGTAAATAATCTTTTCAAACATAGTTCATCACTTTTAGATATTTGCCCAAACTCTGTTTATTTACAAACACATGTCCATAAAAATACAAGTAAAATTCAAACTAAAATCCATAATTTTGGTCGAATTAATGTCATCTGCACTTCCAAATCTAAAACCAAACATTAAAAGATGTCATTATGATTTTGTTCATTTCCCTACCATTTTCCGGAACCCAAACCTTGCCTAATAGGTCATAATTCATTAATTCATACCTAGAAGTTCAAAAACCCCTTAGTCTCTGTTTACTTGTGTTTTTACATTCCACGTTTCTACTTTTCGGTTTCTGTTTTTAAGTTTTCTAGTTCTAAATTGCAGTGTACTATTTTTTCTTTCCAATTTCTTGTTTTACGTTTCTTCATTCCAGTTTTTGCATTCTCTATTTTATCAACTTTAAATGCCTATGTCCAGTTATTGTATTCTTTATTCTAGTAAACATGTATTTAGAAACACAAATGTACAATATCATCATACATGTAGTGTCCAGACCACTAGACAAAGTGGCAGAGATCAAGTGCAGTGAGGGTGTTTGGTGGCTGGGGACAATGGTTGTTTCAATGATTGACGGAGATAGTAAAGGGTTGACCACAGTGGCACAAGTCAATGGTGCTAGTGAGGATGATGATTGCAAGCAGTGGTAGCAATCAGCTATAGGGTGAGTTCAGCACGGTACACTAAAATTTTGAATAGCTTTACTCAGAGTCTTGGTATATGTAAAATGACAAACATCATATTTTACATCTGCACCAAACACCAAAACTCTAACATGGAGCTAGGCTTATCAGTGTCAGTGTGCCACAATAATTTTTGCTATGCCAGAAATTTTTGGTACACCAGAAAACTTTGGTATATAGGAATTTGATACATAGATAAATTTTGGTATACTGCCATAGTCAGGGTATACTGAAAACACTGGTATATAGACATTTAGTATAGCAAAATTCATACATTACAAACAGTATTATAAGATATAATGAAATGCCATAAACTGTAAAATGTTGACACCATACAGAAATATTTCAAGGGCTACATATAGTACTGAAATTTTTTGTATAGTCAGTAATTTTCGATATGATAGGTACTGCATTACTGCATATAAAAAAATTATGCATTTTCCATACCCCTAGTCACTAATGACAGCGGTGTGAGTGACCTATGATGATGACCGGTGTAGCGGAACAGATGCAGGTCATATGTATTGCTTGGGCTTAAAGTCAGAGGCAGTGAAATTGGGAGGTCATTTATTTGGTCAATTGGTTGGAATGTTGGATTGTCATCTGTAGAATGTGGGAAATCATAGTTGTTGAAGGTAATAAATTTAATTATGGAAAACTGTTTAATGTTTTGAAAACCATAATATAAACGTTTTCTAGCTTTCTAAAAAATGAAATATTAAGGAATTGCTCTCTTTTTTTAAATTTGAAACCTGTTAAGTAAAATTTTATCTATTTTCTAAATTTGGATCAAATACATGTCTTATTTTTTGTCTTCCAGTTTTGCAGAAAGACATAACTTTTCAAATTATTAAATGATCCACTAGATTTCCTCGGGAAATTAAAAAAATAAAAATAATAAACTAAAATATAAAGAAATAAGAATAAATGAAATCCGTACATACCTCCCCTACCCCAATTTGTATGATACATGGTGTGAAAGCTAGCCCAGCTGAACTATTCATCCATTCACCTGCACCATGAAAACAACTCCATAAGTACACTTTAAAAGATCTTATTATTAAACTAAATAGAAATTTATTACATAGTTTTGAACTTGCAATTACTCCAAGTCAGACCATTAACTACGCCTTATTTGAAATCGTTTTTCATTTTCGTCATTTTCTTATTTATTTCCCGTTTGCCTACTTGTCTTTATAAAAAAAATTCACTTTTCCTAGAATATGCTAGTTAACTTCGTATGCAAAAATATGACATAAAAGGATATCATATAAAAATAGCATAAAGGTCACATTCTACACATTAAAAGGGTATCACATTAGTGTCTTATTAAAAGCCACATATTTATCTGCTATTCCTGTTTTCATCATATATTTGTCATCATCTCACAAGAATGTACAGTTTGGAACTAATTTCAAAATCACTTCAAATTTTCCTCCAACAAAGATTCACCTCTCAACTTTCTTATCCTCCACACAAAACAAAATTTATTCAACTTTATTTCTAAAATATAAAACCAAAAATCTAAATATGAGTAAATGGTTTGTCTTAAATTTCTTTTCCTCCCAAAGACACTGATTTTATTTAGTTTGATTTAAATTATATAAAGCCACAATATCTATATGTGGAAATGGGAAAAGGGTAACCATAGCAATATTTTGAAGAAATTAACAATAGACAAGGAGTTCATTACTTCATTGGCGTAAATTGAGGATGACAAAAAAGCATACCAAGAGGAGCTAATTGCTGCTTCCACCCACTTCCAGGGGGCCTTCCTTTAGCCCGTTTAGGCCCAATGGACACCGGAGAAGCCACGGTTGACAATGCTAAAGACATGTTGGTGGCCCCATCAGGCCCATATTTCCTTGGCCTGCCTCTTTTCTTCTTCACCGGATCAATGCCATGAGCAGCATTCCCAGATTGGTTCTCAAATTGAAATGCTCCATCTCTAACATTGGACTGGACTGCAATGTTAGGGTTTGCTTGAGATTTGTAACCTGAACCATAAGATAGTGTTCCTCCGCCGCCACTGCCGCCACCTCTACCCAGATAGTATGAAGCAGAACCAGAGAGCCCTACCCCTTCCCTTGCATCCATGCATATACTCACCAAAAATTGCCCACTTACACAAAAAAAAATCTTTCTTTAACAAATGTCTCCAGTTAAAAATCTAATCTTTGAACCCGGATTCAAAAAAGAATATGCCAGAAGAATAAAAAATCAAGAACATGGTTTCTTAGGAAAGAATGCTTCTAAACTTCAATTTTGAAATACCATCCACCTAGGGAAGAAATAAAGGTGGAATCTTGGAAAACTACAAGTGCAGAGAGTAGACATTAGAAGTGATCATGAAGACGAATGCGTGGATTCTGCTGCACTGTAAAGTCACCAAAAATACTTGCGGCGAATAGAAATCTAGCAACAAAGGAGCCGCATTTACAATGGGAATGGGAGAAAAAGAAAAAGAAACCCTAGATTGAAATTTGGCACAGGTATGAGAGGGAGGGAGAGAGAGAAAGGAAAATGACAAAAGTGAGAAGATGAAATAGAAAATTTTGAGCGTTTGAATTAAAGCGGAAGATAGCTTTTTCCTTTTACAATTTGCAAGCCTCAAATTATTTTGCGGTTTCTGACTGGTAATAGCAATAAGTTTTACTGTTCCATTGGAGTAACGCTGCTGTCCAGTCCCTACTTCACTAGGATTCCTAGCAAACATAAATTATTCATTTAAATGATTTTTTGAAATAATAATTATGGAGTACTCCTCTTATAGTGAAAATAATGATAGTGGAAAAATAATTACTTATTTATTTATAGTCACTTAATCACATTTGTGTTCACAAATTTAATTATAATACGAGTAATATTTTAAGAATTTCATCTAATTTTTTACATTAGCAATTATTTCCAAAATCATACCAATATTAATCATGAAAACTTAAAATTACTATTCAATTTAAAAATGGTCTGAAAATCCCAAGCATGCAGATACATTGTTCATTGACATATCAAGAAAGTTGTGTCTTGAGAGAAACTTTTTTTTAAGTAAACATGTTCATAGAGTTTTATTGAATTTGAATGGAAATTACAAATGCTAATGAAACCAATAGGAAATCAAAGCCCAACCTTACAAATCCATCCCTAATCAAATAATGCCTAAAAGTAGGCCCCAAATTATAAGCATTCTGCAATTTTGAATTGGTCCACAACATGTGACCAAGCCAGATGAAGTGCAGCTGGAATAGTCCTGACAATCCACGTGAACGCCAACTCTTAACTCTGAACTTTGAAGACTCTAGTTGCAGCTCCCTCAACCGGTGACAGTCCACCGAATACTCCGGTGGCAGCTCCCTCAACTGGTGACAGCCCTCTGGTGTGTATTCTGTCATCTTGATCCCTTTGGCCCTTTGTGACATGAGGCGGCTGCCTTGGGAGAACTCCTTGCTTGTCCTAAGAGTTAAACTTATACGAACTATTTTAATATTTTCATAGACATTGACAAACATTATATTTCCCTACATCGCTTTTTGTCCCATTTTCATATATATATCTCACTGAGTTTGTATCGTATCATATTTGATAATATTTGTAATTGTAATTCATTCTTATTTTTTCATACTAGACTCATTCAATATCATTCATATAACTTCACTTTTTATGAATAACTACATCACTCTCATGTTTCAATCTTTAGAGGACGAGAGTAACATCATGTTACCAATGCTATGTTCTAAAATTAACTATAAATAACGGACTCTTTATTTAAAAAACATTATGTCATTCTTTACTTTTCCTTTCATTCAAAAATTATCTTCACACTTAAAATAAATTGTATGATTGACGTAATTTCACGTTTATAGTAAGAGATACTTCTTATTAAACTTACAACTGGTAATTTATTAAAAACAATGTCAAAAAATAATTAAATAGTGTACAAATTAAATATATATTTAGTTTTAATTGATTTGTATCAAAAATAATTGTTACAAATGATTTCTATTCAAAGTCATTCTAACAAATTTAAGTTGATTAATGGCTAGAAGTTTTTAAGAGAGCGTCAAACAAAATCTAACATGAACTTGGATATGAACCAAACACAATTTGGTTTGAGAGATGACATCATGACACATTGACACTATCGTCGTTCTATCTAGAGAGCATCTTCTAAACAATGGGCTATAAGAGAGGATACACATTGGTCAGGCTAGACTTACATGTATACAGATATCGATGTGCTAATGAAATACTGATAAATAGGATGTCGGTCCACAGGGAAATTATTGATGTTATAAAGTTTGCAACAAACCCAAGAGCACTGCTTATTTACATGTACTAAAGTGCTTAAAATTTGGAAATATTTCATGAGTGAGCTGCAAATAAGTCAATCTGACCCTATGGAACTTAGACAAATGATCTTCTGCCGGTGGCTAACTAAGGAATCTTCCATTGAAGGTACGATGAAACGAATTCTACCTGGAATAATTCTTTGGTTTGTTTGGAAGGCTACAAATGCTTGTATTTGGGATAATATGAAGTTTGAAGAAGATAAGATAATCAAGCATATTCAAGCTTACTGTCAACAATGGTGTTTAAGTTACAAAAATAAAAAGTTCATGATTTACAGTGATGACTTAGCCCAAGCAAACATCATGCCAGATAATATGAAGAAAATCAAACAAAAAGTTTTGATTTGGAAGAACAACTTCCCTTATAAGCAGCGCTTAAATGTGGATGCGGCTTTCAAAAATGGTGATTGTGTTATAGGTGCTATTCTCAAAACTCAGGATAGTTCTTTTATTGCAGCAGCTCATATCAAGATTAAAATTAATTCAGTGCTTCAGGCCGAAATTACGGCTGCTTTTAAAGCTTTAACTCGGTGTAAAAGCATGAACATTAAAGATTTTCAATTGGAATCTGACTCTAAAGCTTAAATTAAAGCAAAACACAAATCTTTATAGGATTTTCATCTTGACACCTCGATTAAAGAGTTCTCAAGCTTATGTGATACTCAAAATGTGAAGATCGGACATATATACAAAGAAATTTATAAGTTGCTTACTCACCGGTGCAAGAAGGCATGGAGATAAAGGAAGATAAAGTTTTCTTGAAAAAGAATGACCTTTTTATTTTGACGAATCAACTTTTGAAGTTTGGTGTCGATGGTGCTTTCTACATTTGTTGCTAGATTGATCGAGATGTTCTTGCAATTCCTGCTACTACTGTGGCATTTGAATCTGCTTTCAGTGTTGGAGGTAGGGTAATTGATGAGACTCGTGCTTCTTTACTTCCAGACATGGTCGAGGCTTTGATAACAACGGGTGATTGGCTTCCATCGAAAAAGAAAAGGATTAAGTTTTACAAAAGTTATAGTGAATACAACCATTTTTGCAATCCCTTTTTTATGTGATTAATCTAATTTGTCTTGCTTTATTCTCAGAGTTTACTGAAGAAAATGTGAACGATCCTTCTAAGATTATCAACTTAGGATGAAGCAAAAGTGTAAAGACAGTTTATATAATCTTGTTATTGATTTATATGTATTATATATTAGTTTATACTATCGATTTCTTTTATTTTTAGTGCATAAATTTTGAGGAAAATCATGAAGAATGAAGGATGGTACAATCTTTTGGGAAGCACCATATATATTTGCATGCACTTTTGAATTTTTTTTACTATGTTCTGTACTCCATTCTCTTTACATCAAGCCCTTTCTTGTTTCAAAATTTTGTTTCTATGGAGTTCAAGGATGTGTAGACTAACGTAGAGAACAACATTATGCTTATTTATATATGATATCTTTCAATATGAACAAAATTTTTGCTATGTATTATATTTATTTGAATATGGCATTTAGTTTTGTTTGCGGGTATACCCGGCCCGAATCCGAGACCCGCCGGATCCAAATCTGGAAAAAATGTTTAGGACCCGAAGGGTAAATGGGTCCGCGTATGGACCAAAAATTATTCAACGGATATGGATATGGAATTTATAGTTCTGGCCCGTATCCGACCCGTTGACAGGCCTACACACATGTATCATACAAGTGCTCATAGTTTAGATTTCATTGTTACTTGCAAGCATAAATTAAGTTTAATATACTTTTATGTTGTGCACCATAGCCATAAACAATCAAAGTGCAAAGGATAAAACATAATTTATTGGTTTAGAACTTTTATTAAACATCTATTGGGCATAAAGGTTCATCACTAGCCTTAGCCAAAAAATAAGCCTATAATGCTCATATTAATCACAATACAACTATTAAATGGAATGAAGACTTTGTATGAAATTACAAAGGAAATAATACTTAAACACCAATAATTTTCGAAAGATAATCTCCCCCCAGAACTTGAATAAAATAACAAGAACAAAAATATAAAAGCTACGAATTAAGCTATGAAGTGAGTGATGATTAGGGGGTGGGTTTGGGGTTTAATTAAATTAAAGATTGACATCTTTTAGTCGATTCAAGATCATAAATCAGATCAAATGAAATTTCATAGCTCCTAACCTCCAAATATCTAGAATGACTGGCGCCGTTTGTAGGTGATCTTTGCAGAAATACAGAATGACCGGTGCCGACTGCTTCATATGATTGGCCCTGGTTGCTCTCAATAGCTAACTCTTACAAAAATCCAGCTTGACTGACGCTGTTTATGTCTCGACCGGCATTGATTGTTTCCCAATCGCAAGTTGATTACTTTTTCGTCCTTTTTTATGTTTGCGGTTGATCCATAAGTGCCAATTTCAACCCCATTTGACTTTTGACCCCATTTTCATTGTTTCTAGCCATCTTTCACATTCCTTGCTCACTTTGGGTTATCTAGTAGAGCTCTTATCGCCAACCTTGTCTCACATAGTCACTCCCTTCTCTTTATGTTTTTCAAATAAATATAACTACGCAAGTAAAACATAAGTAATTATCAGGATTATCATACATTTAGAGAGAGAGAGATAGACATTTATACTTGAAATCGCTGGTATATTCTAGAGAAAAGACATAACTAGTTACTACAGAGAGAAAATGTTCATGAATAGATGATTTTTGAACCCTTACGATTGCCCAAAGTGAGGCTAATTATAGTACCAATAAATGAGGCGCATTTAATGCACCGTAATGTTCATCGGTCTGTGGACGGAGCCATGCAACATATGTGTGAATGACACGTGTTGTTGCTGATGTTTGATCTGGGCAGTTGAGGGTGCGTGTTACTCGTGTGTGTGTGTGTGTGTGTGTGTGGATGTTGAAGTCCATGTGAGGTGTTCTTAGCTGGTTGGTGGAGCCCTGATCGTGTATTCCTTACCAAAGGTGCTCGGCTGAGGGGGCGCTAAACAATGGGACACGGGAGATCGAGGCTTATCATATCAATTTTTTCGGTGAATATTGTGCGCATCCATGGCTGGATGAGGGTTCTAACAAGGATGTAGTTTGTCGCGTGTTCTGATAGGTTGGCCTGAAGTGTCTCGTGAGTCTATGGGTCATGGGTCATGGGTCATGGGTCTAGAATCATACACTCCATCGAGAGTCCTACACTCCCTTCGTCGTCAGTATCTAAGTGAAAGG